CCCATTGGGAATTATTAGATTGGATGGGTGTTAGAAACATAAAAAAGACTTGGAGATTTTGCCTTGGGAAAGGAAGAAGGAAAATGGAGCTGGTTTCTTATTTCTAACGAATCAGGAATGGCAATTATTAGTAATAGTTCTCAATAGTTACTAATTTGCAGTGCTGGTAATGCCACTGTTTTCTTAGTTTATTTTCTGTTTCATGAATGTGAAAATAATTAAAAAACCTAATCAGCGTTAGGCTCACCAGCCTTGGTGTGCCTACCAGCTTTCCCCAGGTTCCTTCAACGTAGCGTTTCTTCCATGTTGACGCAGAAGCTGTGACGTAGGTCAGACAGTGCCTTTTCCCCTTGGGCCGAGTTGAAAGTGAGACTGAAGAAGGAGATGACAGTGATTGTAATTAACATTTTTGAGCAGGTGCTGTGTACTGGACACAGTTCTAACCACTTTTCCTGGCTTGACTCTGTCTTCCAGTATCTTACAAAGTAAACACTGTAGCCATCCCCACTATAGGGATGAGGAAATTGAGGTACAAATTGAGTCAGGGTGACTTACGTAGAGTTGATACTTGCTGCACTGAGATCACCCAAGGAGAGTATACTTAGTATACCAAGGAGAAAGCACTGGGAACCAAGGATGGGATTCATGTGTGTGCACATACACATGTGTGTGCATGGGCGGGGTAATTACATTTTGATAAACCAAAGGATGAACATTTTAGAATCTTTTTTTTTTTTTATAATAGTGCATACTTATGATGAGAGAGAGGGAGAAAGAGAGAGAACTCTGAACAGGGTCCCACATTGCTGCAGCCCTGCTTTCTCCAGCCTTTCGGCCCTCCAGGTCCTGTGCACACTTGCCATTGTGTTTTATGGGATCCTAACCCAGGGATCCTAACCTGCAGTCAGCCATGTGAGATCCAGCTTCCCTTGAACAGTGCATTGCCTCTGCACCATGGAGCTGGACCAGCTTAGAACTACACAAGGCAGAAATAGGTCTTTGGGGTTGCTGGGAAAGTCATGACTCATTTTTGCATAGGAAAACAGAGCAAACTATGTCATGATTTTCCAGACAGCCTAATAATCCAAGACTTGCACAGATGAAAACTTCCCTCTCTGCACAGGGATACTAATAAGGCTAAGCTATCGACCCCTCAGTTGTACTCCTTGTAATGTCATATAGCAGTTGATTCTGCTCCTACCAGAATTGTCCCAGAGTCTGTACACTGTGTCACCAATTGCCTTTCCAAAATTGCGCCTGCACATCAACCCGGAAAACCTGTCCCTAGGAGCATCTTGCAAGTGTCGTATCCAAATGACAGCTTTGTCGCAATGTGTCGTTAGTCTGCATTCATTCTGGCTGACTGTCTAGTTCTCTAGGCAGTGGAAACATTCTTTCAAACGGCCTCTTGCCTTCCCCATTTTAGTGCGGGAGCCCATGTAGGCATTTGTTGGCCAGCTAAAACCACCGGATATGTTCCTGCTCAGCAGCTGTTGCATGTCTTAGGCTACAGCTGGCCACTTGTGTACCCACGGGCAAGGTACGTACGTTCACTCTGGGAAACCGCCAGTGGGATGAAAACTGGTGAGTGCTCTGAAAATCTGGCGAGGAAGGATTTGTCCTGGGAGAGCAGGATTGAAGAGCCTCCCTACCCCACGAACGTGTACAACCGGAAGTCTCTTCAGTGGAGTGTTTCTAACACGGAGCATTTATTTTGCCTCTTTTTTTTTTTGAAATCTGTGCTGGCTCATGCACCACATTGAGATTTTTTTTTTTTCTCTATCTAGCTAGAGTCTTATCTGTTCCCTTAAATTTCCTCTGAATTTTTGACTAAAATTTAGTATTTTGTAACTATTTAAGACAAATCAGATGCTACAAGGATTGCTAAGGTTCTTTTGGAATTGTTCCTGGAATTAATCTTCTGTATTTCTTGCCCTCAAGGGAGATATACATATATTTCCAGGTGTGGGGAGAATTAGGTTTATCTTTCTTTGTTTCTTTGTCAGAGTGTTTGTGTACTCAGCAGAGAGAAGAGAGGGTCAGAGCACCTCCTATCCCCAATGGGGCATGCTCACGCCACAATCCCTTCTCTTCCATCTCTTCATCCTGTCTATGTTTTGGGCTTACACACACACACACACACACACACACACACATCTGGCATGCTTTTCAATCCACCAGGGTCAGGAGTTGAACCACAGTCAGCCATGTGGGATCTGATTCCCTTAACCACTAGGCCATGGGGCCAGCCTGAGAATTAGGTTTATTATATGTGAGCTGTCCCTGTGTCTGAGGTGGACAGGAAGAGCCCTTCTGAAGGATGACCACCAAGAAAGGTTGCATCACAATGAGGGGGAGATAGAACAGTGTTGAGAGTCTCTGGCTGGTCATCCGCATTTGTCAGGTTGCTAAAGAATGGGCTTCTGGGGATTTGGAACATCACAAGCTTCATGACTAACTAGGGGCTGGATCTGGGCAGCAAATGTCTGTTTCCCAAAGTGCTGAGTCACACATTGGTAGGCGGTTGATTGACCAGTTATAGAAGCAAGGTGGAGTTGTCTTGCATCGCAGATCCAAGGACATTCCCCACCTCTTATGATACCATGTCGTGTGCTCCAGAAGCATGTAAGTGCAGCAGGGGCCAGCAGGCCTCTTACCTGGAGTCATCACTCCTTTGCACAGTGGCCATCCCAATGTTGAACTCGCACAGCTTGGGCCCCTGCAAGGTTACAGCAGATGGTATGAGCAGATGTTCAGGTCTTACCAAGAGGTGAGTGTCCTTACAGGTCTTAACTTAGTTTAAATAGAGAAAGCCCTAAGGGCATCTGTAAAGGGGTAGGTAGTTTGTGGAGTGTAGTAAACTATTAAGAAACATGCTTATGATGGTGGATTTGTTGGGTCTCTGTCTCACTTTCCATCATTCTCTTTGCATACCATCCTTTCCATTCAAGGCATATAGACGAACATTCACCCAATGTTTGCTGGGAAGAACTAGAAGGCATGGTGTGGGGTCTGGTCTCCCGTTTGGACTGAAGTCTCTTTCTCTCTATGGACGAGGGATGGTACCTCATTGTCCAGCCTGTGTGTCCCTGTCTTACAGAGAAGGATCTCACCTCTTTGCATTTTAGAGGAGAGACATGATAGCTGATTTCTTCATGTGTACTTAGTTTTCTTCAGGAAAGGACTAAGACATACAAAAATGAATTCTTAGGCGAGAATTTCCCAGATGCATCGTTATTTTCAATCATCAACGATTATTGAATTTTCTTATTGTCTTGTTTCAATCAGGAAAGCATATGGTGAATGTCCTGCCTGGGAGAAATGTGGGTTGATAACAGTGTTTTCCTGTTTGTGCAGAGGATTTCACTGACTGGATGTGGGTTTTCATGACCACCCATGGCTGTTTATAGGCAGGAATGTGATAGTGAGCGATGTGACCAGGAGTTACAGGAGAGGTCTGCGTCGGAGCTACATCTGTGGTTTCTTAAGTCTCTAACTGCCAGGGCTTTAGAGTTCATCTGAAATGGAGTTGGTCCTTAGAAGCCTGTCCAACTACCTCCTGCTACCTTTCTAAACACCTGAAGCCCCCTTGAGTTTTTGTCTTAGTAGGAAACTCTTTTACTCACTCAGTGTTTATTCATGATGAAGGTGAACTGGAACAATTCTGACTTAGAATGGACCAAGTGAGACCTGTGACGATGTGGGGATAGTGCCTGTCTGGGCCTTTGCAGGGCAGCAGTAGTTTGTCGCTTAGCTCATTCTTCTCCATGGGCTCTCAGCAAAGATTTGAGCCCAGCACATTCAGGTTTTGGCAGTTCAGGATATCCTCTTCGTGTTTACATGCTTGAGCTAACATTAGCTATTTATGAGACCAAAAGATCAAAATATGGGGATGCTCTCAAATGATGGATCCCTGTGCTATTTCCTCTAGGTCAAGCTCAGGTGTCCGTTCTCTTCCTCTGAGGAAAATCAGTGTTGTTTCTTATCCATGAGACTATTGAGCTGTCCCATCCAATATCGCCATCGCTATCCTCCATTGACCACTACCACTATTTAATTATTGTTCATGGAAGTGCCTGTAGCACCTCAGAGCAGTTACAGTTCTGATGTAAGAGGAGATCTGTCTGTCCTGGACGTGCTCACCTGGAGAGCGGGGGCACCTTTCAATGTTCCAAGTGTTGGGAACTGGGACTTGATACCACAGCGTCTTGGCAGTTGCCCCAAGCTGTCACTTGGCCCAGGGGCAGTGAGTAGGCTGCTACGGCTCCTAGCATCCCGGCTCTGAAAGGGCAAGGTAATTGGAGAGACCACGTTGGAGCTGTGGGCCCCACAGATGTATTTAGCACAACACGGAGTGAGAGGCTGCTTGTTCTCAAGAAGCGAAGCTGATTAGAGATGAGGTCTCTGGCCTGCTCCTGGGATGTGGGCCCTTGCTGCGTGAGTGGGTTAGGTGGTGTGTCAGCCATCTTTTTAGTTACCCCATTAAAAAATAGACTCCTATGTGGGCCTTTTGTTTATTTATTTATTTTTAAAAATATATCAACTGTAAAGACCTACTTATGCATTGTAATCCCTACCTTCAGAGGAACGAACTAATCTGCCTGCAGAATTTCCTGGAGTTCAAGGCAGGCTGATGAGGGTGAGGGTGCTGGGTTCTCTCAGCATGGTGGTGGTAGAATCTCAATAGCTGATTTGCCAATTAGTCAATTATCTTAGTCAGATAAATAAGTTCTTTGAAGTGCTCCTTGTTTCCTTTATATTTCTTGCATGTTCTAAACCATTTGCCTTCATGCTGGGCGGTTTAAGGCTTCCCAAGTGGCTCTGGGCTGCACTGGGTCTGTACCAGCCAGGAGTGGAGTAGGAATCCGGCCAGGCGCATAGGGGGCAGCCATGCCCTGCAGGTGCCCTGCTGCTACAGAGCTCCTACTGGACTGACAGAGCTTTTGAAGTCCTTCTCCACCTCATGCATGTCCTCCTTCCTCTCCCTTTTTGCTCCCAAGGATGTTAATGCAGGCGAGGGCAGTGAGTTTGCAGACAGTGGGATTGAAGGGGCCACCACCGACACGGACCTCCTGTCCAGGCGATCCAATGCCACCAACTGCAGCTACTCGCCCCCCACTGGCCGGGCCTTCGTGGGTAGTGACAGCGGCAGCAGCTCCACCGGGGATGCAGCTCGCCAGGGTGTATATGAGAATTTCCGGCGGGAGCTGGAGATGAGCACCACCAACAGCGAGAGCCTGGAGGAGGCAGGCTCGGCGCACAGTGACGAGCAGAGCAGTGGCACACTCAGCTCACCAGGACAGTCAGACATCCTGCTGACAGCCGCACAGGGCACGGTGCGCAAGGCTGGTGCCCTGGCCGTCAAGAACTTCCTGGTGCACAAGAAGAACAAGAAGGTGGAGTCGGCCACCCGAAGGAAGTGGAAACACTACTGGGTGTCCCTGAAAGGTAAGGACTGGGAGTTCCTAAGAAGCAGGGGAGGAAGGGAGGGAGGAAGAGCCCTGACTGTGTGCAGGGATCACACACTGATGCGTTCCGCTGCACATACAGTCAAGTGACTTCAATCATACAGAATTTTAAATTTTATTGTGGTAAGAGCACTTAACACAACATCTACCCTCTCAACAGGTATTTTTGTTTTTTGTCTTTTGTTTTTAGAGAGGTTTTTGCTATAGAGTGTGTGTGCCACAATCCCTTCTCCATTCTCCTCTCAGCAATATCTTGGGCATGCACACACACGTGCCCGGTGTGAGTTTAAGGCACTGGGTCCGGGACTCGAACTGTGGTTGACTACATGAGAGTCCAGCAATGTACCCATTATGCTATCTGCTGGTCCCAACAGTTTTTAAAGTGTACAATACAGTATTGTTGGCTGTAGCACATGGATAGCAGATTTCTAGAATTCATTCATGACTTAACTGAAACTTTATGTTTCAGGAATCCTCTTCCTCCCTTTTCAGTGATGTTTTGTTTTCGCTAGTTTTTCACAGTTAAGCTAGAGGAGCATCTCGTGTTTAGTTCCTTATATATATAGGATATAAGGATGAGTTTAAGGCACTGGGTCCGGGACTCGAACTGTGGTTGACTACATGAGAGTCCAGCAATGTACCCATTATGCTATCTGCTGGTCCCAACAGTTTTTAAAGTGTACAATACAGTATTGTTGGCTGTAGCACATGGATAGCAGATTTCTAGAATTCATTCATGACTTAACTGAAACTTTATGTTTCAGGAATCCTCTTCCTCCCTTTTCAGTGATGTTTTGTTTTCGCTAGTTTTTCACAGTTAAGCTAGAGGAGCATCTCGTGTTTAGTTCCTTATATATATAGGATATAAGGATGACAGTTTTGACGGAGGAGTTTCTTTTGGAATCATTTAAGTTTGTACTTTTCAGAGTGACTGTTTTAAGAAGGAACATCATGAGGCCAGCAGGTGGCATGGTGGTTAAGGCACTGGATCCCTTATGACTGACTATGGCTTGAGTCTGAGACCCAGTGGCTTGAGAAATCACACTGTGTGTGTGTGTGTGTGTGTGTGTGTGTGTGCGCGTGCGTGCGCGCGTGCACGCCCAAAATCCTGAGAGGAGAATAGAGGAGAAGGAATTGTGGCATGCCCATCCCCCTGGGTGATTTCTCACTTTCTATTTCTTTGTGTCTCTCTCAGTGAGCACATGTACCTTTATGGCAAAAACCTTAAAAGTGGGGAGAAGGAAAATCATTAGTTTGAATCTTATGACACTTGTTTTTTAGGTAAAAAAAAAATTAATAATAATGTTGGTAATTTCATAGGGTTCAACCTGATCTTATTGGGAATGTCTTATATTTGTAGGGAAGTCAGTCACTGCTTTAGAACTGAGCTTTCCATATTTGAATATGCATGTGGGCAGGTACCTGCGTGCATGCAGACATCACTGCTATTTTACATAACCTGTGATCCTTTTACGTGTTGCCATTCCTTATCATTTAGCATATAGTTGTGAAGTATGTGTGTGTGTGTGTGTACATATCTTTGCACATATCCATGCATGTCTCTGTAATGCTGAAATAATAAAACATTTCTGAGCTCTCTGGCTGAAAAAAAATACTTTGTCAACACACTCTGGAGTTTTTTTCCACAAATGAATTTGGAAGCAGGTTAGTATATGACAGGATAGATTAGACGGGTTAAGAAGACTGAAGGGAGGGCACAGGAGGAAGAAGCCTGCGCTGCCCTGGTGTGGTGCCTGTGCAGAGCAGCTGATGCCGCGTTTCATCAACTGTGGCTGCATAACTCTGTCTCAGAGGCGTGGAGCAGCCTGCAGTGTGAGGCCAATGCATGCTTGTGCGGTGATGTGCAGAACAGCTTCTGTGGGTCTGGGTGGGCCTCATTACTAGTGCTGCCAGCTGTGGTTCCAGTGCTTGGTGTTGGTCAGGATATAGGTTTTGCTGCATGTCATGGACATGCCTTGAGCATGACAGAACTTTATTTTCCTCCCTCTGCTGTGTGACAACTCTTTTCTATGAAGTCATTCAGGGGCCCAGGCTCCTGTCCTATTGCTCAGCTGTTTCTAGAGCAATGTCTCTGGATGATTATTCGGTGAACTAGTCTTGCATATAAAGCGCAGATGTTCATCCTTGGGAGCATAGTGAACTCCTGTTCTTTTTCACGTGTGACCTGCCTTGGCTTAGTTTGGACACCCTACGTGGATGGTCTGAGGGGTCTTGATCATGCCATCTGCTTTGTTAAGGAGGAGTGGGTTGAGGTGAGGGGAGAGACAGCTTCCTCACCACCTCCAGCTCTTGCCCCAGATGTCCACACCACTGGACACTGCAGCTGCTATTTTCTTCAGCAGCCGTGTCATCACTCATTTTGTAATTGGTGCTGCTGTTAGCCTGATCCGAAGACCACCGAGCACCCTGGGCTACTTCTGGGTCCTACCTCATACCGGGGTATCTCCAGATTTGGAGGCAGCCCCTGTATTCACTTGCTAGGGCTGTCTAGCAAAGTACCGCAGACCGGGTGGTGTAAATAACAAGAATATGTGGTCTCACAGTCCTAACGGCCAGATGTTCACAAATAAGTTGTCAACGGAGTTGGAGAGTTGGTTCCTTCTGAGGTCTCTGTCCTTGGCTCAGAGGTGGCCATCTTGTGCTGTCCTCCTAAGGTCTTCTCTCTATACCTGTGCCCAGATGTTCTCTTCTTATAAGCCATATCAGATTATGACCTCCTTTTGCCTAAGTACCTCATTAAAGGCCTGTCTCTAAATATAATCACATTCCAATTCTTCACTGAATCAGAACTGGTTAGGTCTTTCCCATTGGACTTTTAGGGGACACGATTCAGTCCATAATAAGCGCTAAGTATATGGTTTAAATAAGCTTCCCAGGTGATTCTTACCCCAAATTGGAGTGCAGCAGTATTAGTACCATAGAATAAAAGTAACTGGGTGATTTTTTTTCACTTGGAACAATGTAATGGGGGTTAGTTCATTTCTGCCATTCCCATGGAGAATATGTGACACAGGACACTAGGGTATAGGGGTGCAGAAGCCAGCCCACTAGGGGAGGGAGCCTTCACTTCCTTGGTGACCCAGATCTGAGTGACACCATCTGTTAGGATCCAGGACAAGAACATGGAGCCACTGAGTCTTTTATGTCTCAATCTTGACATGTCCTCATTATATGTTGACACACTCAGGGCTTTGTCCCTGCCGTTCAGCTCGTTGCTGAATTATTCTTAGCTCCTCTTGGAGATTGAGATGTAAAAAACTGAGTGCTTTGGAACTGTGGGATAAAGAATTTTTCCCCAAAGACTCTTCGACATTAGATAAAATAATTAATTTTAAAAAAGATTTTATCTGGAATTAGTCTCTGGAGTGTCTGCATGAACAACCGAAGCACATACAGATTATGTTTAAGTGAAGACAAAGGTAAACAGATTTTATCAGGGATCGTTGGTTCTGGGATTCACTGCTTCACCTTAGCCTTCAAATTAGAACAAGCTGGGAACCAGCAGTGAGTGTAATGGCTATGTCGCTGGACTCCCACATAGTCGACCGCGGTTCGCGTCCCGGACCCGGTGGCTTAAAACCCACGCTGGGCGCGTGTGCATGCGTGCCCAAGATCCCAAGAGGAGAATGGAGGAGAAGGGATTGCGGTGTGGCCATCCCCTCTTGGGGGTGATTTCTCGCTTTCTGTCTCTCTGTCTCTCTCTGTCTGTCTGGCGAGCGCATGCGCCCTATAGTGAAAAACCTCTCAAAAAAAAAAAAATTAGAACAAGCTGATGACTGAGGAGAAGCCAAAACACTGCCTCCTGTGGATGATTCCAAATCAGAGTCGAAAAATGATAAAAACAGCTATTTGGAAAGACCATATAATGATCAGTGTGTATGCATACTAGGATTTGTGGGTTTCTGTTTGTTTATTTATTTATTTATTTATACTGTGATTTCTCTTTTACATATAATTGTACATCTTTGTGGGGTATTGTGGGGTTTTTCAAAGCTGTCATACAGTGTAATTATCCACACACTTCAGTTTCTTTTCTCAACCAGCAAGTAAAATGTGTTGCTCCTTTTATATTAAGAGTCTACTGATTGTGAGGGCCAGGAGATGGCATAGAAAGTTATATCACTGGACTCTCACATGGCCGTCTGTGGTTTGAGTCCCAGACCTGGCCACTTGAAAATCATGCCTGGCGTATGTGCCTGCCCAAGATCCTGGGAGGATGGAGAAGAGATTGCAGCATGGCCATTCCGCCGGGGTTGATTTCTCACTTTCTGTCTCAGTGTCACTGTCTCCCTCTTTGGAGAGCACATATACCCTAAGGCAAAATCCTCTCAAAAAAAAAAAAAATAGAAGAAAGAAAGAAAACCTGATTGCGAGTGTTGTATTAGTCATAAAGATTATTTAGAGCAGGGTACTTCTTTGTTGTGAGGGACTGTCTTAGTCTTTGTAGAGTGCTCACCCCTGTCTTCTGCCCACTAGATATGTCCCTCCCAAGTTGGGCAACCAAAACTGTCTTCAGACATGGCCCCAAAATATATATTTTTTAAATGTATTCCTTTATTTCTTGAAAGAAAGAAAGGAGGCTCTCGGCCAGTGTCAGTTTTAAACCCAAAAGTTAAATAAAAAGAAAAAAACTCTACTAAAAATGTCTAGCAACATGCATTTTCTTTTAAAAGACATTAGCATAGGAACTTTATAAGTTTATTTGTTGAAAAGAGAGAGGGACAGAGACGACTCCTCAAAATGGGTCCTGACACTATGATCCACCCCCAGCCTCAACCAGCTCTGGATCACGGATACACATATGTCCAATGTACCAAGGGAGGTCTCTGAGTGCAAATCGGACCCTTCTCATGTGAGTCTGCCTCAGAGTATCATGTCTTCTACTGCACCACCATTAAGCCAGCCCTGGCATAGGACTTTACCTGTAAAAAAGAAGCAAATATAACTTCAGTGGAAAGGAGTAATTAAGACTGTTGAATTATGGAGACAAGGACAAGTATGAAATCATGAAATTCATGACCAGTGAGCAATAAGGACTTTTACACAGAGCGTGTGATCGAACTGTGCCAAGCCAAGGGGGGAAAACGTGAAATGAGTGGGCAGTAGATACCAGGATGCTACATTCAGCTGGGTTTAGAGACGTTATCGTCAGCAACTGTAACATGGACTAGGGAATATTATGGGGTAGGAAAACTTGCCTTTGAACCAATGTGTCTTTTCTATGGATCTACATTATTCTACATTACTAATTTCATCTGAGCATATTTGCTTTATAGACTCATATCATAGCTGAATAGATCGAATTTCCAGGGCTTTGCAATTCATACGAAGTGTAGCACTTATGGTAAGCAAGATGGTGACACTTGACTTGAGTAGCTTACACTGACATTGAGGAAAAGTCATAAAGCTGTGCTCAGGCTTCCCCTGAAATTGATTTTGATCAGTTGAGTTTAGTGAGTAATTGCTGTTCAAGTGAACCTTGAGTTTCGTAAGTGATGACGGAGGGACTCTACACTGAAACTACCTCACAACAAACCTATGAAATATTTCTGCTTCTATTGTCCCATTAGTTTCACAGTGCAATTAAGTGTGGACCAGGACTCTGGCTTCCCACAGGTCTTCTTACGTGTGCCATGTACTTCCTCTTTCAGTAGGAGCAACAACATGGTTTATTTCTAGAATAAAATGTGTAGGTAAGATCTACACCAAAAATGTATTGTTTCTCTCCTAGTCCTTAAAGCACCTAAAGCCAGTATTATATATTGAGCATGGTCTAGAGACTCCAAATATTTCCTTGAGTTTCCTGTTTATATATTGTGTGAAACCTACTGGAAATGGTTCCAGTGGAATGATAGTGAGCGTCAGTCCTCATGTAGTACTAGGTACAGTTCTGGCTTATGCAAGTGTGTTTGCACTTGCCACTGAGCAAAAGAGCCACAAGATTCCCATATGTCTGTGAGAAGTTGCCTATATTGAAAACAAGGAAGTAGGGATCTTAAGAGCTTAAAGACATGAATGAAGGAGACCTATTCAGGGTGAGAAGCTATGATTTAAGATCTTTGCCCTTTGTGGTACCTATTGGTCCCAACATGAACCTTACTTCTTTGCTATGTAAGTTCCACACATTTTAATCTCCAGGTCTTGGTGGCACAGCCCAGGAGTTGGTTTCTGTTGTAGGCTTTCAGTTGCCCAGGCACCAGTACTCATGCAGGATCTGTTCTGTCTCCACAGGATGCACACTCTTTTTCTATGAGAGCGATGGCAGGTCTGGAATAGACCACAACAGCATCCCCAAGCACGCTGTCTGGGTGGAGAACAGCATTGTGCAGGCCGTGCCCGAGCACCCCAAGAAGGACTTTGTCTTCTGCCTCAGCAACTCCCTGGGTGATGCCTTTCTCTTTCAGGTTGGTTGGCTACTTCCTTTGCAGGGCATTTCCTGCATCGGAACAGATACTTTCCACTCCCACCTTAGTACCTTACCCTTTTTTCTTTTTTAGTGGTGAAATTTATCTGTTGCTTATTATGGAAACAAAAATGTTGAATGACAAAGTATTGAATCCCAGGTGTAATAGACCCCAGTCAGAGGGTTTTGAACTGAAGCCCAACACGTGTTAGGAGTTGGATTTGAGAAACTTGTTCTGTTTGCCATGGGTTTCTCAGTGTAGTTTCAGTACCATTTTTATAGCACTTTAGAAGAGGATCATGAATTCCTTAATTTAGACATGATTTGACTGTTAATTTTTTTTATCATAATATGTTCTTTTCTATTATTAATCATAAAGTAAGATTGTGACATCCCAGAAATGGCTGGTTGTACCCAAACAATTTCTCTTTCTTATTTTATCAGAACTTTCTGCCCAGCATTCTTGAAGTTTGACTATTAATTGCTTTAAAAAATACTTCCCTGCTAATTGCTTCAGGTTAACATTTACTTTTATAGGGAATTCTTAACTTTGGTTCATAGTAATACATCCTGCAAGAGCTTTTTGTTGTGCTAGTCAGGAAGACTTTCTTTTCTTTTTTATGTTGAAAAAGTGTGTGTTTAGAATTAGCCAGCTGGACTCAGTTTAGATGACCCCGATTTTTGTGGGCAATATCCAAAGCATCGTTATGAGGAGCCAGTTGCATGTCATGCCTTCTTCTCTGGCAGGCCTGATTAGGGTGTTGAGCCACATCAGTACCACAGAGCTTCTTCACAATCTGTTTGAGCTGGTGCTTGCTGGCTTTGACATCCGTAGTGAACACACGTGAACACAATGAGCACTGTTGTCTTCTATCTTCTTCATGGCAGACTTAGTGGTCAGGGGGAACTTGGTGATGGCATAATGGTCAAATTTGTTTCTCCTGGGGGTGCTCTTCTGAGGATATTGGGGCTGCTTCTGGAGCTGCAGTGTCTTGGGCCACCAGAAGGTAGGTGATGTATGGGTCTTCTTTTTGTTTTCTTTCTTTTTTTAAAATTGTGAACATGTTTCAGCACTGTCTTCTTGGTCTTTAAAGCCTTTGCTTTGGCATCAGCTTTGGGAGAGGCAGGACTTCCTCCCTCACATTCAGTGTCATCTTGCCCAAAAGGCAGAAAGGCTTTCTTTATTCCATTTTTCTGTGTATGGAGAATACTGAGAATATTTTAATACAATTCCTACTCTTAAAAGTGTTCACATATAATAGGGACAGAAGACATAGGAATACATATTCATAGTGTAGTAAGGCCTAATAGGGAATTTTAAAGAAAGAGCAGGGATAAATCAGGTAAAATTGATAATGAGAATACTCAGTGCAATGAGGGAGCTGGAACAAAAGTGTGAAGGAGGGAGATGATTTTATTTCACCATCGCCAGGTTCCTGGCTTTGTTCCCTAATGTTATATTCATTTGTGTTATTCAAGTAGGAAATGTACAATGTTAAGTTTGTTTGCATAAAGACAGAAAGCACCTGTGTTTTCTTTTTAAAAATCTATTTGTAAAACATACATAAAAAAGAGTCTATGGGGCTGGCCCCATAGCACAGTGGTGAGCACTGTGTTTTGGGAGCTAGATCCCATATGGCTGACTGTGGTTTGAATCCTGGCCCTAGTGACTTGAAAAACACACTGTTTGTGTGTTTGTGTGTGTGTGTGTGCCTGTGCTTGCGTACTTGTGTGCCTCAGATCCTGACAGAATGAAGAACTGGAGGAAAAAGGATTGTGAAGTGACCAAGATCCATGGAAATGCTTTCTCTCTCCCTGTCTCTCTCTTACTGTGGGAGCACACAAGCCTTCTGGCAATTAAAAAAATAAATAATTAAAAGAGTATGCAAAACACGAATCTCCTGCTCTGTGAGCTGTCACAAAGTAAATATGTAGCCACCAAAAATGGAAGGTTCAGGAGCCCTATGAGGGATCCTGCCCACCTGCATATACACAGCCTGCTGGTTGAATGAATGTTTCCTATCTCCTTACCCGTGACAATATAATTTATCCAGAAATGACTTAATTTTACCTTCATTTTTGAAGGATAGTTTTGCTGGATAAAGAATTTTTTCTTTTTGGAGAGGTTTGTGCTGTAGGGTGCATGCACTCGCCAGAAAGACAGAGAGAAACAGAGAGACAGAAAGCGAGAAATCCCCCCCGGGGGGGGTGGCCACATTGCAATCCCTTCTCCTCAATTCTCCTCTAGGGATCTTGGGCACGTGCGCACATGTGCCCGGCATGAGTTTAAGCCACCCGGTCCAGGACTCAAACCGTGGTCGACTCCATAGGAGTCCAGCCATTATGCCAATTGACATAGCCATTATGCCAATTGCTGGCCCCTGGATAAAGAATTCTTAATAGTCTTATTTCAGTGATTTGAGAATTTCTCTTACCTCCTGGACTTCATAGTGTCTAATGAGAAATAAGTTTCTAATCTTATTTGTATCCTTTGTAAATGATGAGTTTTTTTGTTCTTGATGTTTTGAAGATTTTATCTTTGTCATGTGTTTAGTTATCAATGTCTCTGAATTTTACTCTACCGGGATTTATTGAACTTCATGGATGTGGAAATTTGTGCATGCTTGTGCATGTGTGCACGTGAGCATGTATGCACTAGTCACATTTGGAAAGTTTTCAGCTGCTATTTCTTCAAATAGTCTTCCCTACTATTTCTTTTCTCCTCTTCATCTGTGCCTCTTATACTTGATGTTTTTTTGTATGTCTGTGAGACCTTTTTTTGAATTTATTATTTTAAATTTTGAAAAGTTATTTCTCTTTGAAATTCTCTATTTGGTGACATATAATTCTCATGCTTTATATTTTATCAGATATGGTTTGCTTTTAATATATTCAAAACAGTTAAATATTTTTCCCCCCATAGAACATGTGTGCATGCTCAAGAGAAAGAAAGAGAGAAAGTGAGAAATCATTCCCAGGGGAGATGGCCATGCCACAGTCCCTTCTCTTCCATTCTCTTCTTGTTATTTTGGATACACATGTACCCACGCTTGGTATGATTTTCAAGCTGCCAGGTCTAGGACTTGAACCATGGTCAGCTATGTGAAAGTCCAGCACCTTAACTACCCTACTACCTGCTGGCCCCCTAAATAGTTGATTTAAAGTTTTTTATCTTGCACACTCAACATGTGGACTTCATTAGAGGCACTCTCTGGTGTTAACTTCTTTTCCTGTGTGTGAATTGTGCTTTATGTGTGTCCTTGTATGTCTTACACTTTTTGGTTGATAATCATACATTTTAAATGACATACTGTGGCAAGTTTTGAAAGCAGGTCTGGCCCCCATTCTCTGGGGTTTATTGTTGTTGTTAGTGTTCTTTGTGCAGCGACTTTCCTAAAATCTGTAAAATCTTTACACTTTGTTAGGTGTGGCTACTGAAGTCTCTGATCAGCTAGTTTAATGGTCAGGTAATGGTCAGACAGAGACTACCTTCAATGTCTGGATGCAGTATGTCTTCATGTCTTTTCTGCAGACTGAAGTGTACATGTTGAAGTACATTTCCAGTGTTGAGGCTGTTAGTTTTCAAATCTGCTTTAGCCTTCACCTTCACTTTCTCAGGGCTTGCCTGAGCATGTGGATAGCTCTGTGTATCTGTGTGATTTTCTAGATTCCCAGGACTGTGTTAGAGTTTTTCAGAAGTCCTTATGGAAATCTTTCCTGGCTTCTCCTCAAGTTTCTTGGTCAACTTCTTATTTGCCCCACTGTATCTCTGTCTCCTGGAGGGTCCAACACTTGTCACTGATGCCCCTGGAATAAATACTGTTTGTACAAAGGAGGTTTGAATAGATCAAATAGGGACAAATCCCTTGAATGGAGTTTCCTAGGACCTGCTAGACAGGTCAGATAATGATAATTTTCTGAGAATGATGTTTTTGGAGAGCTTCAAGCCCATTCTGCCCTGCCCAGTGGCTAGGACGCTAACTGGTTTTCATGTGGTTGTGGAGATGAGGAGATAAAGATGGGAATAGGCCAAATGAAAATGCCATAAAACTTGCTCCTCCACTGAGAGTTACCATTTGTATTTAACAAATGCATCTCAGATTCTTGAAAGACTTAATTTCCAGAGTCCTGAAAAAGTCGATTTTGAGTTTCTAACTAGTGTTCTTAGTGCCTTTATGGAAGAATGGCTCTTTGGAGGTCCTTCTTCGTTCATTGATGCCAGTGGCATTCACCAGGACACTTCAGAGGTGGTTGTGTCAGGGTAAGAGGTAGAGGCTGTGACAGTCCAGGCCAGCTGGGACATAGGAACATCTAGCCATAGGTACATGTGGTTGTTCCCAGGTTTGAGGATCATGAGAAGTTTTGCTGTGAGTGCTCTTGTACCTGATCTAAGAATATTTCTGTCCTCATTTCTGTTGGGTGTACACCTGGGAGTGGCATTGGCAGTTATGGGGTAGACAGATATTCAGGTGTACTGAATACTACCCAACAGTTTCAAAACGATTAAAATAATTTATGCTTCCATCCATAGCCTAGGTGAATTTCAGTTCCTCGTCCTTGTTAACCCTTGATATTGTCGGATTATTTATTTCTTTTTTAAGCTGTTAGTATAAAGTTATGTACATTTTTCTGTATTAATAGTTCATGGCCATTTTACTATCATCTTTTGTGAGGTGCTTATTTCAGTCTCATATCCTTTTTCCATTGACTTTTCTTTCCTAATAATTCAGGGTGGTACTTTACGAGTATTTTGTGTATCATATCTTTCTTGATTATATTCACTGTAGGCATCTTTTTCTGCTTTGTAACTTGCTTTTTATTCTCTTAAAGGTGTCATTTGTTGTAGTAAAATCTAATTTTAATGCTTTTTTATTTCTCAAGTCTTCTTTAATGGATGGTACATTGAGTGTCTCATTTTAACATTGTGCATGCTCCAAGGTTACGGGAGTATTCTATATATCTTATAAATAATTTGTCTTCATCTGGCATAACTTTTTACTT